AAAAAGTATAGCAGTTTCCCAAAAAAATATTTGGCAGTACAACTGTTGCCAACATTGATAATTATAATAATAATAATAATAAATCAGCATATTAGAATGATTTCTTAAGGATCATGTGACACTGAAGACTGGAGTAATTGCTGATGGAAATTCAGCTTTGCATCACAGAAATAAATGATATTTTAAAGGATATTAAAATAGAAACCATTATTTTATATTGTAATAACATTTTGTAAGATTACTGGTTTTTTTCTGTATTTGATGAGCATAAGAGACTTCTTTAAAAAACATTACAAGTCTTACTGATCCCAAACTTTTGAACGGTAGTGTATATACACACACTACTGTGCAAAAGTCTTAGACCACTAGTATTTTCACCAAAAAAATGGTTTTAAGCCAGTTATTTCTGTTTTTTTGCTGTAGTGTGTCAGTAGGAAATATCAGTTTACATTTCCAAACATTCATTTTGCCATTAATTGTAATAATGCAGTGAGATTTTTGTCTGACAACAGCCAGTGCTCCACAGAGAGATCTGATCTGATCATCATCAGTCTGTCTGGAGTCACATGAAGAAACAGAACAAACTGAGACAGACTCAATCCAGAAGAACTGATGCTTCAAGATGCTTTAAGAAACCTTCCTGCAAAGCTACCTGAAAAGCTATGTGCAAGTGCACCGAGGACAAAAGCTGTTTTAAATGCAAAGGGTGCTCACACTAAATGTTGATTTGATTAAGTTAATTGATAAAGAAAATCTATTTATTACAATATGTTTGAAAGCATCCTCACTTTTAAGACTTTTAACAGCACTGTAGTTTTGCAGGTAGGTTTTTTAAAGCATCTTGACGACACAGTTCTTCTGGATTGAGTCTGTCTCCGTTAGTTCTGTTTCTTCATGTGACTCCAGACAGACTGATGAGGATCAGATCAGATCTCCGTTTGGAGCACAAAAATCTCACTGCATTATTACAATTAATGGCTAGATGATTGTTTGGAAATGTGAACTGATATTTCCTACTGACACACTACAGCAAAAGATAGAAATAACTGACTTAAAACCATTTTTTGTTGGTGAAAATACTAGTGGTCTAAGACTTTTGCACAGTAGTGTGTGTATATACACTACCGTTCAAAAGTTTGGGATCAGTAAGACTTGTAATGTTTTTTAAAGAAGTCTCTTATGCTCATCAAATACAGAAAAAACAGTAATCTTACAAAATGTTATTACAATATAAAATAATGGTTTCTATTTTAATATCCTTTAAAATATCATTTATTTCTGTGATGCAAAGCTGAATTTCAATCAGCAATTACTCCAGTCTTCAGTGTCACATGATCCTTAAGAAATCATTCTAATATGCTGATTTATTATTATTATTATAATTATCAATGTTGACAACAGTTGTACTGCCAAATATTTTTTTGGGAAACTGCTATACTTTTTTCAGGTAACTTTGATGAATAAAAAGTTAAAAAGAACAGCATTTATTCAAAATATTAATCTATATAAATCTTTGCTATCACTTCTTATCAATTTAACACATCCTTGTTGAATAAAAGTTTTAATTTCTTTCAAAAAAAGAAAGAATAAAAATTTGCCGACCCCAAGCTTTTGAACTGTAGTGTATATTGTTAGGAAATATTT